ATAATATATATTTTCTTATAATAATACACATTATAATTATTATTATAATTGTTATTACTTTACTAAATAACTACTACTATTACTATTATATTACATATTACAATTACTATTATAAATGTATTATTTTTAATATCATATTATGGCAGTATCGACAAAAATTCTTATGAATTTAATTAGAATATTAGAATATATATATATATAATAAAAATATATAATGTATAGAAAATTATATTAGAATTGGACATAAATCATACCAAAATGATTGGAGCATTAGGACAGTATTTTCGCACTTCATTGATCCATCTGGAAGCCACACTGTGGTAAGACGAGGGACATACAACACTGAAGCAAACTAGGAACACATCTGTCTCAGGGTAGCACAACGATCTCAGAGGGTCAAAGTCATCCTGGCCTGCTGTATCACATAACTGGACATTCAATGGTTGTCCATCGACATTTACAACCACTGTATAGATATTACAAAGATATTAGTATTATTGAATTGATTTATTCTTATCTATTAATGATACATACATTCTTATCTATTTTCTCAGAATAAAATGTTAAATGGTATATAATTAAAATTAAAATTAAGAGATCAATTAGGATAAAAATAAAAGTAAATAATGTAAATATCTTATAACATTTCATGCATATTAAAAATTACACTTTATACAAGATACATACATTGATTCAAGATATGTACAAAGCATATTCACAAATCACAATTCTAAAGGCTACAGCCGCATCATTAGCAAATAAATGCAAAAAGTATACACACCGTTGTAATTGTCAAATGCAGTTGGCACATATTCCCCAGGAAAACCATTGGTGGAGTACGAGACCACCAAGCTGGTTTTTCCGACCGCACCGTCGCCCACGAGGACTACTTTGATTCTCTTGTCAAGCGGTGTCGCAGGATGTTCTGCTATGTTTTGATTCTGTGCTCCAGTGCTAATAGCCATCGAGGATGTCGTCGTCGCCATTGTTACCGTCGTCGGCTGCTGCCTAGCAGCTTGCATCTGCATTGTCTGTCCGCTCTTGAGCAACGGCCTCGTCCAATTGGTGTGCGAGGACGGTGGCATTGTCTCGCTCTTGATCTTGCCGCAGCTCCGATCTTTCATGCGTCTGTTAAGAGGCGTACCGTCGACGCGGATGCGACGGGACTCCTCGCGTAATTGCCTCTTCAGCCGATGTAAACGACGTCGTTGAGCCTCACCTCAGGGCGCCGTCCAGCTGTAACATCGTTGTGTCATCGAGCACATCATTCCTCCATACGGGGAACTGCAGGGAACGGGATGCAGTGTTGGGATGGCGAACGGGATGCTGGTCCACCTAGTGCGATCCTCCACGGGATTCGGAGCGAACGTAAGATCGAGATAAGCAGCGAGAAAACAATGGAAGATGATGGGTGACTGGGAATGAGCGGGGGAACCCGTGGTCGAGCGAAGCACACAAAAAAGCCAGTCTGAGCTGGTCCGACGATTCACCTGCCGCGATGCGGAGCCACCTGTTACTGCGCCCCCGCCTCCTGGTGTGCACCCGCCGGTGTCGGCACGGCGTCGCGTGCAAACACACGCAGACACGCACGGCTGCTGGATTGGATGTGCGCGGCGTGACACAGGTGGACTTGTGGATGTGCGTAAGCGACTCGCGTCCGCGCCGCTCCGCGTCATGTCCTTCAACTGCCATCAACTCTTCCTTCTGGCAGAAATTACCTGTAAAAGTATATTGGTGCCTATTACACATCAACTTACAATAATATAACAGCATATTATAATTTTTTCAATGTAACAATATAATCGTTACATAAAATATATTATATTTACACTGTTAACTGGAAAATTATAATATTGATGTTCTAACATCAATATTCACATCAGCTAACATTAAATATTCATAGAAAATCCGATTTATATTCCTAATTATGCCAATATATTCTAGAACAGAATTATTGTCACAAAATGTGTAAATGTCGTTTAGATATTGTACATATATCACGAACATCCTTGTATATATCACTTGAATATTCCTTGATATATATATATATATAT